CTGTGCTGTAGTGTCCAGTCAGTCAGTCAGGGTCTCTGTGCTGTAGTGTCCAGTCAGTCAGGGTCTCTGTGCTGTAGTGTCCAGTCAGTCAGGGTCACTGTGCTGTAGTGTCCAGTCAGTCAGTCAGGGTCTCTGTGCTGTAGTGTCCAGTCAGTCAGGGTCACTGTGCTGTAGTGTCCAGTCAGTCAGTGTGGAGAGGATCTTGGTGTGACTCAGTGCAGGCTGTGAACAGTCACTAGGAGGTCAAAGGGCAAGTGCAGTTTCAGTGGAGGAGCTCACATTCTGTCCTGTGCAGCTCTGCAGGAGAGGGCTCAGTTAACGAGCCTGTGTCTGATTAAAACGTGCTCTAATTATAACTGAGAAGGCGATAGTGGTGGGAGAGCCCTGGATGGAGGGGGTAACAGTGTCTGGGCTGGAGCCAAGGGTAAATTTAGACAATTGGTCGGAAATTGCAGTTAACACCTTTACTCTGAATGCAGCTCACTCCCCCTCTCTCTGTGCTCTGACACCCCTCTCACTCTGAGTGTAGCGTTCATACACTGTAAACCCCCATCAGCCAGCTGGTGGGTCTCTTTCAATCCCCCCTGCCTGTCTTTCTCCTGAGTGTCTCAACTGGCATCGGCTTGGCGCTCCAGCCCCCAGCATGCACCAGGGCTGCTGTTTGTGCCCTGACAGCCCCCCAGCACTGGGGTGACCCTGGCCCCGCGGAGCACTGACGCCCTCTCCCTGCGTCTCTCCCAGCTCTATGGGGAGTACAGGGAGCAGCTGAGCAGCTTCGCCCGGAGGGAGGCCACGCGCCTGCTGACGGAGGGGCAATGGAGGAAGCACGCCGCCGCCCACAGGAGCGGCGCCACGGAGACGGCCCCCCCCGGCAGCCCGGCGGCCGCCAAGAAGCCCCGCCCCTACTCCAAGTGCCGAGGTGAGGGAACAGTGCCCCCTCCCTGCCGCGTGGGGTATGACACTCGAGAGCAGTAGAGCTGTCTCCACTGCCCTGCTCTCAGCTCATTGGGCTGTCGTCTCCCTGCCTTGCAGACTGCCTGGCCCGGGTCCAGAGGTACATCGTCACCAAGCTGGGCGAGGACTGGATCTTCCTGGTGCTGCTCGGCCTCATGATGGCGCTGGTGAGCTGGGCCATGGACTACGCCAGTGCCAAGAGCCTGCAGGGTGAGCAGAACGTCAGCTCCCAGGATGCCCTGGGGCCGAGCCATGAATATAACCAAAGAAACACATTTCTGATGAGGTATTAAGTGTGAAATTCTGCAAATCCGGAGTATAAAATCAGTACCACAGTTCCCAGTTTGCCCCTGAAGTGGTCACAGCTGTTAATAGCCTTCATGGAAACAGTGAGTGATGTGGCTGAGTCGCTCCCCTTCTCTTACTGTGTTCACAGTTGTGAATTTTCTGTCTTGTTTCTGTAGCCTACAAGTGGATGTACAAAGAGCTGAAGGGGAACGTACCGCTGCAGTACCTGGCCTGGGTCACCTATCCTATGGTGCTGATCATTTTCTCATCTCTCTTCTGTCACCTGATCGCACCGCAGGCTGTGGGTGAGTGATTGTGTCTCTTGAGTCCCTTTGCTCTGTTTTGCGATCTTCTGTGTCGTTTGATATTAGAATCTGTATTAATCTCTCTCTGTGTGTGTGAGGAGGGTCTCTCGGGTCTATATTAGAGTCTGTATTAATCTCTGTGTGTGAGGTGTGTCTCTAGGGTCTGTATTAGGGTCTGTATTAATCTCTGTGTGTGAGGAGTGTCTCTAGGGTCTGTATTAGGGTCTGTATTAATCTCTGTGTGTGAGGTGTGTCTCTAGGGTCTGTATTAGGGTCTGTATTAATCTCTGTGTGTGAGGAGTGTCTCTAGGGTCTATATTAGGGTCTGTATTAATCTCTGTGTGTGAGGAGTGTCTCTGGGGTCTGTATTAGGGTCTGTATTAATCTCTGTGTGTGAGGAGT